GAGCTGACAGAGAAAACGTAATGTAAAATTTTGCTAGAGATCACCATTCGACATGGCAGAAGCTGGCTGCTGCTGGGAGACAACCAAACACTGATCAATTTGTTGTTCCGAAATAATGTAATAGGTGGCTAATTTTTAGCAAAGCGACAAAACAAAAAGAGGTCCCTCAAAAGCTGGACTAGATCACAGGTCAGCCATTGACTAAAAAAATATTCATACATGATATTCTGCAGTCAGACTCAAAATTAGTATCTAAAGGATGTAGACATTCTGTATTGTAAACTCTTGGTATTGCCTCTTCAAATAGAAAAAAAATGCAGTTATAAATCATAGGTATTATTATTTTAATAAGAAGCTACCTAAATTATTTAACCTAATTTGAAAGTATTTGCCTGACCTTATTATTAACTTCTATGGGAAAAGCAAGCAATAGAGATAAAAAGATTGTTTGTAATCTAAATAATGAAGATCCCTTCCTATCATGTCAATATTGTGTATTTTAGCATTGCTCTCCAAGCAATTAGAAATCACTTAGCTTTTAGAGAATGATCCTATTTGGTTTTCTTTCTTTTGAAAAATGTCTTTAGGACAGAGAAAATAAATGAAGTAAATGAGAGGCAAATCAGGCAGTAACAAGCCAGGTAAGATTTGGTACGACTGTGACATAAAGTTATGGCCATACAAAAATATTTAACATTTGTCTTAAAAAGGCTTAACAGAGCTTAGTTAACAGTAAGTATCAATTTTTATAATAGCACTTCTCTAAATATGGATGGTGCCAAAAATCTGGTGATATAACCTATATTTCAAAGGAACTACCATCTCTTGGGGTTGTAAATGTTGGTGTTTTCAAATAACTAACTGAACTGAACTATCTGCCTGCCTGTAGAGCTTTAATTCACAATTTTACTATATATATTTATACACTCATATGTGCATATATATCTATGTAATTTCATAACTAATGAAGTCATAAAGGAAGGAAAGAAGGCAGGCAGGCAGTCACAGGCAGGACAAACAGAATGGACAGACTCTGGACCTGAAGGTTATAACTTATTTTTTTCATAAATACAAAAGAGTGAACTTACTGCCAATATTTTAAACATTCTAATGCTTCTGTGTTTTACCTTTTTGACCAATGCTCCTGCTTCAAGCTCTTTAGTGACAGAAAAGCAAACTCTATCTCAAGACAAGGAATTTAACAGTTTAGCAGTTCTATAAAGATCTCTAGTACACAGGTTTACATCATAAAACTGCCTGCTTTAGCACATTTTAGACTTCATTCTAATTTGTTATTGAAAATTTGTTGACTTTTCTTAACTACAAAACCTTAGGCAAGGAAGGAGAAGCCTCACAGGAAAAAAGATAATCCAATTATATTTGTCCTCTACTTGTTTATTATTAATCTTTCATACTTGCAAGGTAAAGGTCTGAAGTTTCCCAAATACAAACAAGACATTAGTTTCTTATGTTTTATGTTTTAGCTTTCCATTTTTTAAAAAATTTTAACCTTTTTATTCTTAAATAGTTTTGTATCTTTCCTAAAAAAAAAAACCCCACAATTTCATGTATGTGTTTTGACTCATAGTATTAGTAAAACTAATAACTTGATGAGTGCATCATATCTACGAGGAAAGATGTAACTCAATACATTAAATAGAAGAAAGAAAAATTTTTTTCATTTAACTTCTGAAAATTTTATAGAACATCCTCAATATCTGTTTTATCTTTCCAGGATTTGGACATCAGATTTCATTGTATATTAGAAAACAAATATTTATAGAGGATGATTTTATTCAATTATTTTTTGAGATAGCGTTACTTTACATCCATGTAATCTATAGATTAAGTCATGAATTATGTTCTAATACATGTTTTTAAATTTGTTTTGTGTCCAATAAGCAGTGTTCCTATTCTTTAAAAACAGTAATCGACATATGACAAAAGTAATGAAGATATTAAGTGAAATAAACTTGCAAAAAAGTTTAATCTAATGCAATCCAGTAACACAATATATGATAGTCAGTATAAAAAGTAAGCAATTTACACAAAGTACTATAATTAAAATGATTCTCGTAGGACTAATGTTTAGTTTTCTTTCTCTTATACATTACTATGATCAGCATCTCTGTTTATTTTGCATCAGTTAGTACGACAATCTCGTTTCACTATCATGAGGGATAGATATTAAAATACACTGAGTTGTAGTCACTAGCAGAGGTGACACTTTGACTCTAAATGTCACTCCTTACTACATCAGGATGTAAGATTTTCAACCTTTCTAATTCTATTCTGTCTCCCTCTTATGGAAGGAGAACTGACTCAAAACTGATTATCTATTGGTCACAGACAGCATGGGTAGCAAGATACTTAAAGATCTTTAAGTATCCAGCATAAAATCTGTGACCAAGAAACCACAACCACCTAAGTATCGGAGTGGCAGGAACCACTTTGATCAATCTCTTGAGAGAGGGATGTGACCTTAGGGGCCACCACTGGTGAAAGTGGAGAGCTACAGTATGTAACTGATTCTCTTTTTTTTAAGAGTCAAAAAGTGTCACCAAAACACTTGCATTACTCTTACATACTCACGTTTGGCATGAGATAGCCTTAGTTAAGTGTTTTTTGATGTGATTCACTTCTGCTTCTTTATTCGATAGAGAGGGACTTTAATAATCTCTGTTCTTCTTCACTCACATGAATAAATTATACACTTAAAAATAACTTGCTTATTTCAATTGAAAGAAATTTTATTATAAAAATAGGTGTAGAATCCTTCCCACTTTCTACTTCTGATATATAGAATCTATGCAACTGTGGCATTCCTTCTATGGCTTAATGTACACTTGGAAAAATATGATATAAATCTTAGAAATTATTTCTTACACAATTTTAATACAACAGCATGGTTTAAAATATGGAATGACTATGTGCTTAACTTGCTCGATCTTTTTTGCCTCTTTAAATGTTAGTTTCTTCATCTATAAAATAAAGGGTTTTATCAAACTCACAAGATTGATACGCAGATAAATAATATATGTAAAGCACTTAAAATAGTGGCATGAATTAAGGAATTAGTAAATATTAACTGTTAACATCATCTTTTGTCTGAAGGTTTATCCATAGCTCATGATAAAGTATTATGAGAAAATATTTTTCAAGAACTCAAGAAGAATATCAGATCATAAGTGGTCCTGAATCCATCTGTGATTTGAAAATAAAAACCTTACAATTGCTTCCCTCATAAATAGTGATGGATTATTTATGAAATGTGGGTTATTATAGTGATGAAAAAGATAAATGAGATGTAAAGAAACTACCTAATATAAATAATATAACCTATTCTTAAATCAATAATATATTTTTATATTTTCTAAGACTAACACAAAAATCTCTGCATGTCTGAAGTGTCAGGTATTCAAGGAAAGTCAAACTAGGTAGGAGAGGGGAACTGGTAGAAGAAACATAAATAGAAAGAGATAGGATTGTTGTACAATGGCATGAACCTTCTGATTACTTCTGACCTAGCCTTTTGCCTTGGTTCATTACTGAGCAGACATAAGATTTCAGATCAAAATAGTCTTAGATACTGCCTGCAAGTCCTTTTACTAAAATTGACTCTCTATATCTGCGTATCCATATTGATAATATACTGTTATGTTAAGAACTGATGTGTACTTAGCAAAACCAATGTATTTTAGCAAATATTAATGTATCTCAGCAAATACATAATTTGTGTTAATAAACAATAGCGTGTTTCTAAAGCAGAAAGAGTTGGTCAAAAAACAGGAAAGCATTGAGCCCACAAAAAATTGAAAAGGAAGAACGCTTTCCTGCAAGTCAGGGAAATGAGAGAATAAAGTACTAAATTCAATCATTGAAAGCCCATCATTCTACCACAAGAAAGCCCTCGTGTTTCCAACCTCACAGGTATGAACAATTAGGCTAAGTCACGTTTCAGAGGGCTGACCACATGGGTTTCATAGGAGAGAAGAAATACAGCTCATGTGTGACACAGGATGAACCCAGCCACTTGCAGAAGGAGCCGCTGATATGCTTACAACCACTGGCACAAGAAATGGCCCTTTGAAATAAGACCCATCAATAAATATTAATGAAAACTAGTTGGATATTGGAGATTACAATGGAAAGTTAGAAAATGGAGGGAAAGGAGAGGGAAGGAATGAAACAATGAATTAAGATGTGTTATATACATGTACCAACTCCATACAAGGGATGCAAACATTATATACTGCAAACAAGTGTTAAAAATAAATTTAAGAGGTTAGATAGAGAGATAGATACTGTGATACTGGAATTTCAAGCCAGAGGTTTGTCCATGCTAGACAAGCTGTCTACCATTAAACTACATTCCCCAAAAGTTTGCTTGCTTGTCTATTTAAAATGTAAAACGTTACACACTCTGGGCATCATTTTTTAAAAGTTATACAGACTTTTTTAGAGGAATCAAATAGGAAACAATGGAAATTTTAGTCAAAATACTTCCATCATTTCTTTAAGAGAAATCAAGAAAAGCATTAAGGGTAATTTACTAAATTCAGAGATGTCTAATGATTCCAGTACACTTTTAAAAATGTAAATTATATTTTTCTTTTCTTTTTGGTTGTTTGTTCCAAAATAAATATTACAAAGCCCCACATACAAATCTCTCTTACATGCTTCAAATTGCATATAATTTCCTCATTTTCGTTTCTGAGAGTCCCATAGCATTTTTGTTGTAATGTTTTGGTTACAGACAAAGACAATAACAAGTCTTGACTGTAACTTGTATCTTGCTATTTGGAAATCCATACAGGACATTGAAAGGTAAATTTAAACTGCTATGAGTTTTGGCGATTTATTTAAGCGTTTGTTGCGCCATGTCGATAGAAGGGCAGAACGGTAAATGTTTCCTGTTCTTTAATGCCACTCTGGAAGTCTGGAAACTGGAATGTACAGGAGAAATTGGCACTGGAGTACTCCACTTGTCAAGATAAAGTATGCCGACCAATGCCGGTGGAGGGGGCCACAGCCTGCACCTGCTACATGAGCAGCAGATTCTACTTCTGTTTCTAGGAGACATGTCCTGCCTGAGGATGACAGTGAATGAGAGGAAAAGGGAACAGTATGTAGCTGGAAGTTTTTCTGAGGCCTAAAGGGAAATATTCTATAGGGAGATTCCATTTTTTCTATTAAATCAAAACATTTGTGATCATGTGGATATATTTCATAAAACATAGGATTGTCACAATTTGGGTAGTTTTACATTGTTAGCATGAGTATTTTACTTAGTATTTCTTGATACATAACAGACTCAATACATATTTGGGGACCAAATTTATATGTGTTATGTTACAAAATTCAATAGTAAATTTGACTTCACTATATATACAGAGAGAGAGTGTGTGAGAGAGACAGAGAGACAGACAGACAGACAGAGGGAGAGAGATACAAAGAAAGAGACAGAGAAAGATAAAAAGGATACAATTTCCAGTAGTAATGTATAATGTGTTTATAATATCTAAATTATTGCCTGATTTTAATTTCTGTAACATATTAGGGAATTTATACAGATCATGAGTTTCACGGCTATAGTGTGGAGAACTGGAAACCTAAGCCAGTGAAAGTGACAGAGAGACTTTTCTGTGAATCTCACGACTGTTATCCCAAGGTAAAAAAGACATATTTCTTATTGTGAGAAATATCTCTGAGAAGAAGAAAAATTGAAATGTTGTCTTTAGGATACAATCAGTAAGTTTCTGCTCACTCTATCTGCTCCCCTATCCACCACTGAGTCAAAATTCTGACCTTCATTATAAAGATTCCAGGTCACTGTATTAGAACAGTGTCAGGGATGCTATCTTTGTTGACGTTTCTCTCCCCTTCTAAATAAAATTCTTAGCTAAGTGGTCCAGCCTGGGTCAGGTTTAGAAACAGTAAGCGCTTCATTGCTCTTGATTTGGGTGGTGGTGAGTGGCTTTTGTTGCTGTTGGTTTTGTCTCCTCTTTAGAGTTTCATATTTTAACCTTTTCTGGATCTGGATCTGAACTATAAGATTTAGGTTATTTTCTTTGTGATGGAAAATGGCTCTATTCAAGGCCTTTCTCCTCAAGTATCCAGGGTCTCCTACCCAGAAAAGGAAATGGAATTATTCCTATGATCCAAGTCCCAGAACACACACTGTTTATTGCTAAAAAGAAGCAGGTACACACCTGGCTTTGTTAACGAAAGTTTTAGAAGAATTCACTTTGTAATGCAAACTAAATTTGGAAAGTATAACCAGCGATAGTTTTTAACAACTATAATTCAGTGGTCACAATGCAATAAATGAAATGGCCACAATGCAATAAATGAATTAGTCATTACTTGAATATTTGCAAAATTAATAAATATTTCAAAAGTTTGCTAAATGTACATTTAATTATAATAGATTTATTGTTCTCTTTCAGAGTATTGTTAGATAGTATCACACATGCACCAGATCACAGAAGTCAACCCAGTTAAAATTACATACATAGAATTTAAGATAACTTTAATCTCAAATTAAAGGTAAAAATGATGCATTTGTTCTTTTCCTTATCACCTACTGTAAGTAAATGTGTATTAAATATAGAGAAAACATTTTCATTTTATTGTAACTTTAAAAGTATTTAATTATTATAATATGCCATTTAAGATCTACATGAATTTATGAGGTGTAAGTTCATGGTGATATGATAAATTATTGAACTTCAGTTGGGTTAATGAACCAATCAGAGATAGATCTCATATATCACACACACATTGAAACATTTTTTTTTTAGTATTTAATTACTATATACAGCTTCCTGAAATCATTGAGCACACCAGTTCACTAAGATCCATCTTTAACAGATATCTTGAAATGTATACATATGCACATGTACACATATGGATGCACACAACATTAATAGCACACATGTCTATATTTAATCACTTATATTCATTATATTTTCATTCTTTTTTTTTTCTTTTAGTATCGGAGACCAAACTCATGACCTCACACCTGCCAGGCAGGCGCTTACCCCACTAAGCCAAATCCCTGGCCCTCTTCATTATATTTCCAAGTGAGAAAATATGTATAGTATGATCTACTAGGAACCAGTGATCTAAAATACATATTTTATAGAGAAATATAGGTCTACTGGTGACAATACAAGCATTTTATCACAGAAAGGACTGGCTGATTTTTCTCAAAGGGAGAAATGGTTCAAATTTTATCAGTTATGTACTATTAATTGTACTGAGAACAAATTCTTGGTTTCTTTAAGAAAGAAAACTTTTGAAATTAACTTTCATTCTGTTTTCATTTCCTAAAATTAGATTTTTTTAGAAAAAACATACACTGTGTTCTATATCATCAAGGCAATTATTTTATTGATAATGTACTAACAGGTTTAGAAAGCATAGTCTTTATGTTTACCTGACACAGAATATTCTTTAATACAACCAAATTGGTATTAAAAATCTCTGTAAAAATGACAGAATGATCTTAGAATTGTATTTTTTCATATCTGAAGTTCTCCATTTCCCCTTTAAAATGAAAAAGATGAAATAATTTCTATTGTGGTTCCCTCTAACTTTACATTTTGAAACATGTACAAATGTGAACTCAAAAGTGTGTATTTATCATAACGTGATATCATCAAATATCGTACATGTAGAAATAAAGGCTCTTCCCCTCTTATTTATAGGAAGGCCAAAGGCAGTAAGCATTCACTTTTATTTTTATGTTCTTATACTCTTATGTTATTGAGTAACAACATTCAAAAATGTTTATCCACGTAATATCCTCTTGACAGCTGGAAAAATAGATGCTTCAGAGGAGCTTCACAGTCCACTTAATCCTACAATATACATCCCCCTTTCCAAACACAATCCAAATAAAAAACTCAGTCCACATAATAATGGCCAGGTACTATTTACATGGCTTCAAGAAATTCCCCTAAACCCTCCTGTCAAATAAGATGCTAGTCTCCAACTCCTATATAGATGTTCATATTGTCACAGAATAACTTGACAATTTGCTACATGGTAGTATCAATTATACTGACTTGTTTAATAATATTTGGAAATTAGAAGTATCTCGAATAGCTAGGTTAATGTCTTCATTTGACGGAGGAGAAAACCTAGCCCAGCTAAATCTCATGAGTCACACAATGGACAGTAACAATGAGAGGCAAACTCAAAACCCTTTTTCTACAATCATCTCAGTGTACACTTAGGGGTTATTGTTATTTGTTTTTTATTCTTTGTTTATTTTTCTTCAAAGTATTTTGAAAGAATTTAAATAGCTTGTAGCAGTTAAATTCTTCATTGTCTGATTGTAGCACTGAAAATTTATTCTTTATTTGATGCCAAACTACTTTTGAAAAGACCTAACTACAATCCAGTAGTTGTAAAGAAATTACAGTTAAATATATAAGGAGATAAATAAGTTGAAATGACATTCAATTTAAGATAAAATTCATTAATTTTCACCATAACTTTTTAATTAAATGTCTTCATCTCATCATTTCCATTGTTAAAAGTTTATTAAATTACATATAGGTGCACATCTAAAACACATTACTAAAATCAAGGTATTTTTTCCAACCAATAGAGAAAAGTTACAGTAAGTTACTTCTTGTATTAAGTGTGAGATGTGGATGGATATATGGATAAACTGATGAATGCATGAGTGAATATAAACACAGATACTGATTTTAATATTACAATTTTGAAAATCACTTATTTCAGAAATTTCTAAAATAATAAGTAGGTAAATTTTAAGCATGTAGGATACATTTCAGGTCACCATATATGATGAGTTTCACATCATGTATTGTTGAATTGCCATATAAAATCTGTTGATTTAACATCTTCTATCATAATGATTTTAGATAAAATGAAATATCAAAATTTACATTAATGACACTTCTCTATCCACAAAACAATTTATACCAATTGGTGCCACAATTATGTGCTCTATTATCCATTCCTTAAAGTGTAGCATAGTGTGCAGATAATTCTTTGATAACTAGCAATGCTTTAGCCATTAGACTTTACATCACTGGAACAAAATTTCATTTGTACCTATACAACTCTATCTGCAGGCATTTGGGTTCTTTCACTGTACTTGTTAAACACAGTGAAGATACACTGTGATTTGCATGCAGGGAAAAACTAAGTTTCACCAAGAGTTCAACCTTCCAATATTACATGTAATTAACTTTGTTTTACTTTCTAAATTAAGTGTCTTAAGTAAATGGTTATCATATGCAGAGCTCCATAAAATATAGAACCATGTGCTCTACAAAATTATCTTTAGGTTGCTATAGTTACAGGAGTTGACTTGTAAATTTTATGCTAATATTAAAAAGAAAAAGCAAGTGTGCTTGCCTTCACCAACTGCAACTGTAAGCAAATGCAGGTACACAGCACTTTATTAGTTAGAACTCCTTTAGTAAGCACACGTTATAGGAATTAATCATTCATTCCCTGCAGACTGCTTATGTATTTCATCGGGCCATTATCTGATCTGAATAACAAGAACAATTGCATAATAAGACAGATTTCTGCTGACACTGGCAACTTTCTTCTTTCAACTTCAAAGTTGCAACTCCTTCTGTGGAATACAGAAAGTTGGTAGCAAAAAAATTACCAATTTAATCACTTCATCTGGATTTGACTTTTTATATAACACTGTATTAACAGTGATCAAATAGGTGTTTAGGGTTTACTAGAAGAGTCTTCATCCAGCTATCTTGCCTAGCAATATGACATAATTACAACAGAGACAGAATGTGTGTCAGGTTATTTTTTAATGTTAATTATAATTATTTGCTTTCAGAAATTCAAACACGATGAAACATTTTTCCTGTCTTTTCTTATTGTGGGTAAATATATTCTGTACTAAAATAAATACAATACAGTGTTTCAACTACTCTTAAACTGGACTACTATGAACAATGTTTCCTTCATTTTTCAATTTTTTTTTCTAATATCCTTATCCTGTGTGAAACCTGAGGTCACAAATGGATAGAGGTCACATGTTATAATCAAAATCTCATCATCCTAGGACCTTATTTAAGATAAATGAATTTCCTTTTTAATCAATAATAGATATGGCAGCCAAGGACAGTAATACCTCTAAAAAAATCATTTGGATAAGACATAAAGTCATTTTCAAGAAACAATAATATATCTTTCCCAAATGATTTCTTTCCTGTCAACAAATTCATCAGCAGTCCTATTGTCCAATTACATCACTCTAAAAACTTATGTCCCAAGCTATTTAAGGCTTTAAACTTAATCATAATTCTAAAAGACTTGCCCATTTTAGTTATTATTCATTTTTTTTACTCTTACAATTTTTAAAAACAATGCTCAATGAACCCAGCTGCTTTATACATGAGATAATACACAGATAAAAAATATTCAACTTGCCATTATCAAAAATTAAAAACAAGAAGGTCTTTAGTTATTATTTGAAAAATAAGCTTTTTGAAAAGAACTTCTCTGTGAGATCAGCAGTTGTAATTTGTAGTCAGGTTTACAACTTTTACTCGGTTTTGAAACAAAAAATTAAAAGTTAAAAATAAATCAAAGTTTTTCTAATCACCATTCTACACTTGTCAGTGTAAGTGCTATTGTGTCAAGTAACTTTGAAATTGTTACAAATCAGTTTCATTTTACCTATATAGCAATTTCTACTGTACCTACTGTAACAATGCAATAAGAATTAGATTCAGAATCCATTTGGCAGTGATAAAGAGAAAAAAATGCTGAAATGTTATTGATTCTTTGTGCAAACAAACTGACTCAACTATATTTTTCCTGACATAACACAAAGGTTTTATTTAGATATTACAAAAAAACTAGCAATCATTAAACTACATATCTTATTTTTAAAGGTATATAGTTAACCCTTGCATAGAGGAAGGAAGATTGTCCTGGCTTCACCGAAATGCTGCAGCCACTGACTTGGTGATATTAGCCCCAAGAGAATTATCGCCTGCAAAAGTTTTGCTGCAGAGATATTAGACTTCCGAGACACCTTAAACCTGTCACCGGTCACTGAGCCTCTGTCACAGTTTATAACCTGCTGTGTTGAAGTCACAGCCTTAGCTCTGTCCTTTAGGAAGCATTTCCACATTCCCTCTCCAATGCAGTCAAAGTCTTCAAGGAGGCTAGTTGTATGATTACCTCACAGAACTACTGTATGTTACCACCGGCACGAGGAAATCTCAACGGGATTTTCATCTGGTCCTTCAAATCATCTTCCCTGGCTTTCCTTGACCCATTTTTTAAAGTGTTCTTCAAAACCAAAGATGAGACAAGCAGCCAACTGAAGTCAAAGGAGGGTAGAAGTTGGGCTGGATTAGGGTTAGGGGTTGAAGGTGGCCAGGGAAGTGAGCATTAGGGTCAGGATTCTCAAGCTTTCTCTAAGTAACAGACCTTACATCTTAGAATCAACCTATGTTTTCACAACCCAGACTTCCAACAGCCTTTGAACAATAAGTGCTTGAAAATCGGATTCCCAGGAAGGCTCCCTGTACAGAAGTCTCCTAAGTCCTCCTCCTCAAACAAACAAAAGCAAAAAATGCTTAGCAAACCACTTCTCACATAGGAGCTACTTAAGTTATATAAGTCAAGTTTCGCCCTAGTCAAAGGAGCAAACTGTCCACACCACCGGGGAGACAGCGTTCAGCACACACCTCACTTTGGAGACAAGAACAGAAGCACAGTTTACTTACTAAGGCAGCCGCTCCATTCCTCCTCGGAAACCCTGAGGAGTCTTCTCTTTTCTCTCCTACCAGTCAAACAGAGAACTGTCTTTCTATTCCACACAGGCCCAGAATAAACTGGAAAAAAAAATTTAAAGGAGAAGATAGCACATGCCCAGCAGCCTGGCAGGGTTTGGCTGGGTGGGATGCTTCCCTGGGCTGCTGATTGTTTCAAAAGTGGGATCTTCTTTTTTCTGGCTGGAGGAGGCGACCGCAGACATACACACACACAAAGCCAGGGGGGCGCCCGAAAGCTCGCGTGGGTCCTGCAAATTATTCTGAAGGCAAAGTACCTGCTCTCGCCCCGCCGAGGCCGCCGTCAGCGCGGCACGGGGAGGAGGCCGGGAGGAGGAGCGCAGGCCGGGCTGGGCGGGCCGGGCCGGGCCGGGCCGGGCTGGGCGGGCGGGGGTGTCTGGGGCGCGCGGCCGGGCGGGAGCGGGGCCGGGCCGGGCCGGGAGCAGGCTGCGGCTGGCGCGGGAGCCTCCGCGGGGACTCGCCCTGCCGCGCTGGCTCCTCGCTGGCTCGCTCGCTCGCTCGCACGCACGGCTCGCACCCGGGCGCCAGCTGCAGCCCCCGGCCGCACGCACTCACCTGCATTTCCTTAACGAGCCACTTGATGGCTGCGGGCGCGGCGAGGGCGGCGGCGGGGTGGGAGCGCGGGCCGGGCCGGGCCGGACCGGGCCGGGAGCGGGGACGGCGCCGAGCACCTCCAGCTACCCCGGCGCCCGCCGTCCTCCCACCGCGACCCCGGGCTGGGCGCGGCGCCAGGGCTCCGAGCGAGCCAGCTCCGCGCGGGGCGAGCTGAGCGGAGGAGCGCGCCGGGCGCGGGCTACCCCGGGCCACTTGACCCTCAGAGGACGCGTGCAGGTGTGGACCCCGGGCGCGCCTGTCCGGGCGTCCCTGAGCCTGCCATTGGTGATTTTCTATGCAGGCAGGCTCTGGGTCAGGGCTAAGAGGCGTGGAGGGTTTAAAAGGTAAGGGGCAGAGATTTAATTCGCAATGCAACTGCTGGTTATGAAGCGCCCACTCGGGCGAGGGGTGAGAAAGGGAGCAGGGGTTGCTGGCTGGCGCGGGAAGGTGCTTGAGCTCGGGAACTGGACGGAGGTAGTCTTCATTTGGGGCGCGTGGCAGTTTGGCTGGGCGTGAGGGAGACAGGGCTTTGCAAAGGTGCTTGGTTGTTACGGGAAAAACCTGTGAGAGAGTTGCCGGGAAGCAGCCTTGTTACTGGGAGGACAGGACATGGACAGCTGCAAGAGAGAAAGGGCTCCTCCACACCTCCTAGTGAGGCAGCGTGTACGAGAAGCGCAGCAGAGGGTTATTATTATAGTCTTGGGGATCAAGAAGACAGGAACTAAAGCCCTTAACCCCTCTTAGCCAAGTATAAACGGGAACTGAGCTGGAGGGAGAGCGTGAACAGGGTGGGAGAAACGCAGTAGCAAGCTTTTACCACTTTACCATCATTTATGTCTGATCAGAGCACACAGCTTTGGGCAAGGAATGCTGTGTCTCCTGCTAAGGAGAGAGCAGCGTCCCACGTTGATACTTAGAAAGCCAAGGTAATTATCCTGTTGGTAATCTGAACAGGATCCTAGGTCCCCTCTGGTCAAAGGTGGTGTAAGCACTCCGGAGGGAAACATCTACTTCCTGTATGTTCATGATGTGATAACAGAAATGTCACCTTCTCCCAAAAAGAAATAAAGCTTAATATAGGTGATATCCCCCCGCCTTTTTTTTTTTTTCCCTGCCTGTTCCCGTGCTTGCTGCATCCCCTTTGCTGTTCAGAAGGGACCTGGACCCTTCTGAACCCATCCTTTCCCAGGCTCCCTACAGCTTCCCTACAGCCCCCAAGCTCATGCATCCAAGAAAGTTCACAGGCACAAAACATTTAAGGTGCTCTTGGAGATAATAGCACCTAGCCGGGGAGGACACATACCTTGCGCACGTATGTGGGCATATGTTCAGTTCATCTCTGTAATTATACAAAGCACTTCTCCCTCTCCTGCTGTCGTCTGCCCAAGATGATGACTAATTATGATCCCCTCTCCTTACCTCCCCTTCCTCCCTCCTTCTTGCTCTCTACACCATCAAATACCACTCACTACTGTCTCCGTTCCTTCCTGTTAGTGTTCAATAATGGTTTTACATGAACTTTCTGTTAGGTAGCCGCTGACTACCAACAGGGAGTTGGCGCTGACTGGTAGGAGGGCTGCCGGGGCTCAGTGATACTGCTTGTTTCCTGTCATCAGCTCTCATTGCATACGCTGCTGTTCTTATTGCCAAATGGCAGCGCAAATGATCTCCTCTCTTGCTATTTATAATAATATATTCACCCTCCCCATGGAAACATATAATTAATAATAAAAGAAATAATGCATCTTGAAATCATGGGATGAGCAGATGGATGCTGATGCAGGGCGTCAGTCACCTTTTCTGTTGTCACTGCTGCAAAGAAAACGTGGACACTTTTCCATTTTTGCTGCTGCTCCTGATGGGTTAAGCAAGCATTTGGCCCCTTTAGTGTGTTCTCTTCTCCATCCTTCCCTTGACAATAGTTTGTGTATTTTAAATAAAGATTTCATTCTGCCAACCCGCAGGAAGCTTTTAACAAGATGCAGCTGAGCGTGTCGATATCTTATATCTTTTTACTGCTGTATGGGGGTGTTCTGAACTTGAAACTCATCTCCACTTCAGCTTAATGCTGGCATCTTGCAGAGACAGTGTTCCCTGGGGCTGATTTACTCTGGCTTTCATGCAACTGTTCTTTGGTGCCCTCAGGAAAAACATAGGGCTTTGAAAGCAATGACAGGATGTTATACCCTACCCTCTTCCTGCTGTACCCCATTCCACGTAGTACCACCCTGGGTGTTAATTGTGATCATCTTACTGTAAAGACTGTATTATTGATTACCCTCCTGAGAACTGGATTGAGATATCTGTTAAGGTGATTCCACCAAGTTGGAAGAGTTAAAGAGAATTGCCTGATCTAACCACCTATCTATTCCTCCTATAATATTAGGGTTGGTTTCTTCTTCAATCAAAAGGAAGGTTGACATGTGCTCTTTAAGTTATTGTTTTAGATTTTACTTTGAAATTTCAGTAACCTCTTTAAATTGCTTATTAGTGAACCATGGGTTTCAAACAACCATAATAAATGTGCTATAAAAATAAACACAAAGAGGAAAGTGCAAAGTAACATGATCCTGAATATGAGTATCTTTTAGAATTTCCTTTATTTCACCACATTTAATCATTTTCAGAAATTCATTTAGCTTTGTTAAATTTAGACTTGTGATTGATTTTAGCAGCATCCTGCTGTATGTACTCTCTAGATTTACATTTGTACTTTGGATTTTTGAGGAAAATAACTACATTCATTCTTGTCTGCATTTTAAGATTAGCGTTTTCCAAATAATAATTTCCTATTCCCGTATATTGTTTAAATATTTAACTAGTATCATGCAAAAACTTCCTAGTTGCACAGTGTTCCATATTGTGGAATTGAAAAAAATGAGAAAGAATCAAATAATGGTCTTAAGGAACGTATGAAGAACAAAGCTATTGACAGAGAGACAATGATATAAGAAGGGGTTCCCATGCCCGAGGCAGGGGCGAGTTTGATGTCTAAACATAATAGTCTTCCTTGGTCCATGAAATTCATGTTTCTGGTTTTAGTCAATCATGGTTAACCACAATCTTAAAATATCAAATATATGTCTTGATTCTTTCAAAAAAGAGATCATTCACAACATTGCAGGATACTGTTAAAAATTATTCTATTAATTTTTTGTTGGGCCTAACATAAATTAGAGGCTGTATATAGGAAAGATGTATATTATATTCGCATGCACAGGTGAGGAATCACTTTCTTCTGAGGAAAAGATAGACTGCGGTGGTAGTCTCACACAGTTTGCCGCCTTTATTTTTGTTTTTATGCTTTTATCTGCAAAAATAGTGTATGCATAATTGTTCTCCCCTATCTCCAGTTTTCTCTGTAAAGTTATACCAGTCGGCAGCAACTACAAGTAGAAACAATTTCATATTGATAATAGTTTGGAAAATCATACCCTCAATGTGTCAAATTGTTCATATCGTTGCATATGAAACAAAGATAATTCTCCTTGTGCTTTTATTTGGTCAATGAAGGCACATTCTAATTTGCCACATACATCTAATTCAGCTGATTTGCTATAGATAGTTTGCTAACAAGGTAACTTCTTGGGAACCCTAATAAAACAATAAAAAAATGCATGCCGTATGATCATCCAATTTTAAAGTCTTAAAAAATGGGGGGAGCCTTAATAAATGTCTAAATGTCATTGTATTTACAAGGTATAGATGTTATCCTATCCATGAGGTCACCATGTGGCTAATGCTAAATTGCAATATTCTAAATATTTTAAAAATGAGAATAGTTTTCCATTCATATTTGTCTTTGGTCATTTTCCATCCTAATCTTTATATCCCAATCCCAGGTCTATCAGATGCTTTGCTGTATCCTTTTGAGGTTTATCTTTTAAAACTATATGAACCTGGTTTCTGTTGTCCCCTATGGAGGCCAACTGAGGATAAATAAAAAGAATGTAATCTACCAAATTCCTTAAGCGAACATTTAAAATATATCACCTAAATTGATAAAAATCAGAGCAAGATTTTTAAAGAAAGTTACAAACTATTTGGTAGAGAAAAGATAATAGTCCCTATAATTTTTAAAATCTATTTTACCTTAACAATTAATAAAAACATAACAAATATGTAATTTTGCCTATCCAGATCTATTTAATAAAGGCATACATTTTGTTCCTTTTTATCCCGAGTAATTTCAAATTTTCTCTCATAAAATAGGTGTAAAAGCCAGAAGAGCAACATGTTTGCAAACACACACACACACTGGCACTGATTTAACTACAGAAGTATTAAAAATATGCTTTCTAAATTTTAGATCTCAGGATTGAGGATGAAGCTTAATGGCAGAACACTTTTATAATATCTTCCAGCCCTCCAGATTTCACCTTAGAGCCATAACTGATCAATCACTGAACCAATCAATTGTAAATTAATAAATGGATGTTACAATCAAGAAAACTGTTCTAGAAACAGACTGATTACTCATGTAGGGGCTGTGAAGCAGTTAAACATTAGGACTGAGACTTCAACCTAGACAGTCTGGCCCCTGAGTGTCTATGTTTAGCCAGTGTGCTTTGCCATTAGATTCTTTTTCACAACTGTGTGTGTATTTCCTTACACTCAGGAACACTTCAACATTTAGCTGAAATTGAAAAACTTTTGTTCAGTACATGAAGACTATAGGTATAAGAAGAAATTGAAGCACCTAAGAACTAATTCTCTACCATAAAAATGTATATTTTGTATTTCCAGTGTAACCATCCTGCATATTTATTTTTATTTGCTAAATCATTTCAGGTGTTCTGCATATGTAATGATCTTAGAAGCATAAAAAAGAAAAAATATGATTTTATAGATAAATTATTTCCAGATTTGGTGTGTTATCATAATATATGACATTTCCAACATGTAAGTCTTTGTTTCTATCTTCACATTTATTTATTTTCCACCATTACCTACACAAAGAAGAACAAAATTAAAATAATAACATTGCTGCTTTTATTTTATAATACAAGATCAACACCCCTGGAAACTTTGTAAGGTTTCCGCCTACTATAGTAAGACAGTGTATTTCCCACATACTTATACTGCACCTTTGGTTCAGCAGAAGAAAATTAGAGTAGCATTTACTTTGTCAAAGTTTTGTGTATTTTTAAACATTCAAAATTATAAAAATTTTAAATGTAATTACAAGGGAAAAATATGGCAATCATAAAATTATGGAGCTCTACTTTTTAGCTTTCAATACTTTACAAATGACAAATCACTTAGAACCTTATATTCTCTTTATGGAAACACATCTAAGGTAAATCAAGAATAACAAATCCATATAGGTTTTCAAATTTATTTT